TAGATTATTATTGATTTTCCTCTGCAACTTACTAGCTTCCTTTCAGTTCCTATTTGTCTGTGTGGAGTCAGAGTGCTCCTGTGTCTTCTCCCATTTCCCTCTAAGATGTTGCTTAGGTCAGTGGAAAATGGGAGACGTAGAAGTTACACCTGCAAACGCACTTTCCTTCTGGTCACTGAAGATGTGTCTGATGCTGCCTTTCTCAGGTGACAGATGCTGCTGTGAATTCTAAGGAAAATCCTGAATTAACTCTTCTGATGAGTGGGATGTGATTATAAGTCCCAATTGCTACAAAACAAATGTTGCATGCCCCAAGATCAATGTGGTAAACACCGAATCTCCAGTGTGGTGGTATTTATTTGGTGGGTCTTTGGGAGATAATTAGGGTTGGGTAAAGTCATGAGTTTCGAGGCCCTGTGATGGGATTAGTACCTTTGGAAGAGAAAGGGAAGAGACCTCTCTCTTTCCACCTTATGAGGATGGGGAAGAAGGTGGCCATCTACAGGATGTTTAGGAAGAGGTCCTTCACCAGAACCCAACCTTGATGGTACCCTGCTCTTAAACGTCCCAGCCTCTGGAACTGTGTGAAGTGAAATTCTGTTGTTCAAGCCTCTGTATCTATGGTATTTTTGTTATAGCATCTAGAGCTGACTGAGATAGTCATTGACTCAAGTACTGACCAACGATTCAGGAATCAAAAAGTTATTCTTGCCAGTCATCACAATGGACCATTTGAGACCAGAAGTCTGTATGAACTCTACCCTGCATTGTGAAGGTTCTGCTATATTTCCAACCTAAATTCTCTCTTGATGCACTTGTGAAGCCTAAGCAATTTTCAGTCAAGATGATGTCAACCTTGCCTCTACCCAGTTGGTGACACACAACTGAACTATGTGACCTCCCTGCCTATATTGCTGTTGTTTTTAATACAAGAAAAGTCCAAAGCCAACATCAAAAGTACCTGTGAAGGCAAAGGGAAAACAGAAAACTGGGACATGCTCCTGGAGGCTGGTGTGAGAACTGAGAAAGGGAATATCTTACATGTTGATAGGAGCTGAGAGTAGCGCTGCCAGATGAAACATAGGGTTGCCAGTTAAATTTGAATTTCACATACACTGTGGATTTTTTTTTAAGTATAAGTGTGTTCCATTTTTCATCTAGTATTTTAAAGTACCAGTTCTGGCAACCCTGCCTCAGAGCCTGTTACTCAAAGTGTGGTTCCTGGACCAACAATAAGTGCATCACTTGGGAATTTGTTGAAAATGCAGATTCTTACTCAGGTCCCACCAGAACTTCTTGTCTTCATCAGTTCAGGCTTCTATTACAAAAATACCAGAGACTGGAGGGCTTAAACAATTCACGCTTATTTCTCATGGTTCTGGGGTTTGGGGCAATCAAAATTTAAGGGGTTGGCAGATTCCATGTCTAGTACTATCTCTTTTCCTGGTTTTTGCAGATGGCAACCTTCTTGTTCTGTCTTCACAGGGGAGGAGGGGAGGAGATACCGTCTTTCTCCTGACTCTTTTTATAAAGGCACTAATCACACAGAGAAGGCTTCCATTCTCATGACCCGATAACCTCCCAAAGTACCGTCACACTGGGGGTTAGGATTTCAACATAAGAATTTTAAGGGGACACAGACATACATTCATCCTGCCATACTTACTGAATCAGAATCCACATTTTAAACCAAAGTTTGAGCAGCATTGTTCTAGAATTTACAAACTATTTTCAGCCACCCTTTGGTTTCAGCCCTACCACATCTATGTGTTTCCTGTTATATTTCAAGTCATCCTCAATTTCAGCAGGTACCATTAATTTAATCATAGCTTTCTGGGAAAATAAGGTAATCACTAGAATAAATGGACATATCCACTATAGGAGTCATTTTGATTTCAGAAACGTTAGCATCTGCAAAAGGTATCTTTCTGAATCAAGGAAATATGGGAAACAGCTGGGAAGGAGAATACAAAAAATAATTGGGAAACTATGGGTGACAGAAGACAAGCCTGATCAAATACTTAGAAAAAAAGGGCTGTAGGAGTGGTACAAATGGAGAATGTGCCTGAGAGTCTGATGGATGAAACATACAGACAGGGAGACTGTCTGGCTCATGGGAGACCTCAGTACACAGGTTCTCATGCATAAACTCCAGACATGACCCTCCATCAATCCTTAGAGATGACTCTGGTCCATATCCATGAATGTGTTGATAGATTTTTTTTTTTAAAATAAAGTTTCTATTTCTTTCATTTAACTCAGGTGATAAGAATAACCTTTCTTACTTCATTTTTCTTTGTTTTACAGCTATTCATAAACATTTAAAAATGTCTGTCATTTTAAAATCTATACTTCAAAAGTAGGGGAAAATGTAATGATCTTCATTACAACGGATTCTTTGCTATTATTTTTTAATTGATGCATAAAAGTTGTGCATTCTTTATGGGGTCCCATGTGATATTTGGAAACATATAATGTTCAAATCAGGGTAAGCATATCTTTCTCCTCATTTCTTTATGGTGAAAGTATTCAAAATCCTTACTTCTAGCTTTTTAGAAACATAATACATTTTGATATTTACAGTAACCTTTTTGTGCAAGAACATACCAGAATCTATTTCTTCTAATAGTAACTTAGCACCCATTGATTAACCTCTCATGATCAGATGGATTCTTCAACTTTCAAAACAGTTCAGTAGAATTTCTTTAATTGAGAAACTTATCTCGTGTGCTTCTAGATCAATTATTTGCAAGAGAAGAAAACTTCAGCTAAATTTAATTCAACAAGTCTTCATTGGCTATCTATTTACTCTGCTAGTCAATATAAAGTTGTAATATTAAGACTTCCTTTCAGCAGAAGAATAAAAATAGGAACTAAAAGGAAGCATAAAATTATAATTTTTCAAGGGGAACACAATTTGAGTCACAAATATTTGACAGCCTCATCTTTTTAAATAATATACTTATTGCATAATGAAAGGGACAGTGTATTGGGTTAAATTCTGGAATATTTCTGCAAGTGACTTTATTGCATTAAACTTTAGTCATTTCCTCCACTGTATAAAATCCTCTAATGTTTCTTGTTGGTCACAGGATAAAATTAAAATGTGGCTCTTGGGTACTGATTCAAGTGTTTACCCTCCTATATGGTCTTCTCCGAAACCTGCAATTCAGTGGTATGGTGCTGGATCTCTGTCTTCTTTCTCCTGGACCTCCCGGACCCCTGTCCTCTCTCCAGTTACTGTGCCTTTTCACACACTGATCCCACTACCATTTTATAGTACCTGCATCTTATAATCTTATAGGTAGTGTCTCACTTCATAATATTGCTGATGTATTGAGGAGCTGAATGAATGATGTAAACCCACTCAGTCTTTTCTAGAGATAAGGATCCATTTCATTTGTTCACTGAACCTGGGGAGGGAGTATTTAGCAGCTGATTATTTAAGAGGTAAGGTGATCTGTCGCTCTTCTTCAATGGTCTTTGCTCCCACTCATTCTCTTGATGGTGTTTAGTCACTCCCACTATCCACAATCATGATTATTTCCTTTTGTAAGAAACCACATATGTGCTAAGATCCAGCAACATGCATGACTGTGTGAATGCAGTTCAAAACACAGCCTTCATTTTAGCCAGGGCTGAACGGTAAACGCAGAGGGGCAACAGAGCAGCTGGAAAAATCCAGCACTTGCTCATCAGGTCACCTGCTCCTTTCCAGGCTTTCTGTAGAGCCACTGAGAAAAGACATTCAGAGCCGTCCATTCACAGCTGGAGTGTGGCCAGAGGTCTCCTTAAATGGCCAGACACTGCAATATTCAACATTTTTGAATGGCACATTCTTAATATCAGGAATTTCCTTCTGTACTCCTGTGATCCAAGATTTGGATAGTGGTATTTTGGGCAACCTGAAATGGTCACAGTTCTTTCTGTAGCTGTGGTGGTTTCACCTGGCTAACTAAGCTCTTCCTGCTGTGGTTAATAACACCATTACCAATGGATGCTGAAAAGCACCAGGCGGCAGTGTGGAAATGACACCTACCCTCGCCCTGCTTTTGCTCCAGCTTACCTTCCATGAAGGTTCCCAAACGTACCTTCTTGTTCCCTTAGGAGCCCAGCTGCTTCAAACATTTGAAACTGCCCAAGAGGCCCCAGAATAGAGTCCCCTCTTGGCTTCTCCATCTGCTGTTAAACCCCCAAAGGTTTCTTGAGTCCAGTTTACCAGCTGCTTCACTCACCTGCAGCTGGGCTCTGGCAGATCCCCCTCCTCTGGTTCTGTCTGCCGACTCCCAGCCAGTTCCCCATCCAACTTCTCCACCCTGTGAGAACCCAGGCCACGCCCATTTCTGAGACGAACCAACACACGCAGCAGTTCCTTATGAAGTGGTCATAGCCAGGATTAGCAGGACAGGAAGATGGAAACAGAACCATCTCTTATCAGGAGGTGCCGGGGAGGTTTGGAGGGAACTCCCCAAGACACGGGGCCTATTAAATCTTTTGCCTAGTTATCCCTGGCTATTTAAAAAAAATCTTTTCAATAAACACTTGGATTTATTTTTTCTCCAAGGGTGCAAATAAATAAATAATAAATAAATATTCCAGTTGAATTTTCATTTCCTGCTTAACTCCCGATGGGGGAAAAAAGAGTAAAAGTGGCTCTGTAAATTTAACTATGGATAAAAATAGCTCTGCTATCTTAAAGTCATTAAGTGAACACAAAAGGGCTCTTTGTGCTCTCAGGCTATGTGTAACCTGGCACCTGTCACCATCCTTCTGTCCTCATCCCTTGGCGAGGCATCCAGGGCAAGGATTCCAAGCTTAATGGCACCTTGAGAGTAAGTGCTCCCAGGTGCCCATCAAACCTGTCATTCTCAACAACTGTTGCTGAGTGACAGTGTCCTTCTACCTTCCATTGCTTTTTGCATAAACAGGTCTGTGGAGTTGTGCCAGGAGTCTTCCAGGGGAGGTGTGTGGTGCCCCAATCGGATGTCGCGTCTCCTCACCTGGCTTTGCTGTGGCCATTCCAGCACTCCTCCTCGTTGGAAGTGCCCGCTGTCACGCGCTCGTCCTTGCAGATGGCGTAGGGTAAAGCCGACCAGACCTTTTTAGAGAGCTTCAATTTCTCTTTTATGTCTGTGACCTGATCAAGAAACCAAGGGAAGCCAGTGAATGTCTTTCTAAGGCTTTGCTCATTCCAACACGAGGATGTAATGCAGGTGAAGGTCACAGAACTAGCATTTTGAAGAGAAAGACACCTCAAACTGCAGGGAACATGCCCCACCCCATCTTCCTTCATCTCCTAGCACAGAGTTCTCAGGTAACTGACTCTTTGTTTCTTCCTCTTTTCTGACCTTCCACTCTTTGGAAGCATCTCACCCACCTTCGGGTCCCTCGTCCCTGCCTGGAGTCTCTATTGCAAACACCCTGAGTATATGCTTCAGAATTCATTTGCCTGGATGTCAGATACATGCTCCAAAACAACATTCCAAGAGACAAGCCACTTTCCCTAATGGACTACTTGTTTCTGCAAGAAATAAATACCGTCAAGAATTCAGCTGCTGGTGACCTCTGCTCTAGTGCACTGATAGGCTCACGTAGCCCGTACTTGCCTGCTGAACAGCAAACCAAACCCACTTCAAAGTCTCCAGCACAGAAGAGAAAGTCATTCTAAATACCAGTGAGTGTACAGTGCCCAGCCCTGAAGATGGATGGCAGAAGAAGCTCAGTACTGACATCTTGGGTGATTTCAGGCCCAGTACTGACTTGTGGAAAACAGGGACAGGAGTCAATGCCATTTGGGTTTCATAATGAACATTGAGGTTCATGATTTCCTGTTCTGTCTGGGCAAACACTGGGAAAGTCCATGGAGAGATACAGTATACCAGTTATGGGTTGAATTGTGTCCCACAGATTGGTATTCTTGGACTCAAAGTACCTCAGAATGCGAGTTGATTTTGAGACAGGGTCTTTACAGAAGTAAAGAAGTGAAAGCTAAACATTAAGGTGTCCCCTAACTCAATTTGGCATCTTTATGCAAAGGGGAAATCTGGACACAGAGATGGTCATAGAGAGAGGATGATGTGAAGACATAGGAAGAAGATGGCTCTTTACCAGCTAAGGAGAGTGGCCTGAGACAGACCCTTCCCTCACAACCTCAGAAGGAACCAACCCTGCTGGCACCTTCATTTCAGACTGCTGTCCCCCAGAGCTGTGAGACAATAACTTTCTGTCCTTTCAAGCCACGCAGTTTGTGATACTATTAGGGCATCCCTAGAAGACTCATACAGATGCAAAGAACCCTGGCTAAACATTTGATGAGCATATTTACACATTCCCAAAGCAGCTCCCACAGATTACACATTAATTACAAAAGGAAAGCTGGTGGTTTTACAGTGCAAAAACTTGGCATAGGATGTACCCTCACCAAGTGATCAGAGTAATGGGACAAATTGATACTGTGTACCACCTGATGTGATGTGCCAAGAAAGACATCACTTAGGCAGCCAAAATTCATATGGATCTAATCATAAGGACACATCAGACAAACCCAGACCAAGGGACATTGTAAAGAACAGCCGGACTCTATTCCAAAATGTCACTCACAAAGGACAAAAGAAACACTGAAGAAAGAGCTCTTTCAGATTAAGAACAAGAGCCACCGTGTCCAAATGGGACACACAAGCCTGGATTGGAATACTACGTCAGAAAAAAATGGCCGTAATGGACATTACTGAGATAGGAGGCAAAATCTATACACTGACTCTCGGATAATAATATTGTCATTTGCTAAATTTCCCAGTTCTCAGATCACACTGGGTAGGTAATATAGGAAAATGTACTATTCCTAGGAGATACATGCAGGAGTATTTAGAGTTAAAAGAGCAGGATTTTCACAACTTGCTTTGTAATAGTTCAGTAATGGTAAATACATATATGTGTAAAGGAGAGAGAAAGTTAATGGGGCAAACTTTTAATAATTGATTAATCTGAATGAAGAGTCTATAAAGCAATTTAGTCTTAAAATGCAAGTTTTTTGTAAGTTTGAATTTCTTTCAAAATTAAAAAATGCTAAAAAACAACAACAACAAAAACACTTCCTTGCATTTTATTTGTTCTTCATGGTGTCTACTTTGGGGTCCCTAATCTCTAATAAGGGCCACCACCCCAAGCCACTCATTTCCACTCTTTTTAACACAAACCCCTGGGGGGCGGGAAATAGGTATTACAGATTTATTTGTTGTTCAGAAAACAGTCACCATCTTTGGGACTGAAACACTGTCAGTTTTATTCTGTGTCATATTAAAGCCCAGTGAAAATGAATATTCTCCCTTTTGCTTATTCCACATTAAAAATCCTACCTTCACGCTGTGGGATCTAAACCAGATATATGGATACTGAGACTCAGACAGAATGCAGCGGCCTGCTGTCTGTCCCCAGGCATCTCCTCTTTTCATAGTGTAAAATTTCACTGTGACTGTTGTGCTGCTCATTCTTTAAATCAAGCTCAGGCATTGTCTCCTCCAAAGTGCATTCTCTGGCACCCTGCTAGATTTACTCAACTATCTGCACGGCATGGGGCGCTGCCGACAATCCAGGTACTCATCTCTCCAAGCTGATGGTTGCCTTACTTTGCCAATTCTCTTAGCCTGGTGCTTCTTGATGGTGGGAATTAAGGTTGCAATTTGTCTTCTATCAGTGCCTAGCAAAGGGTCGAGTAACCAACCATCCCAGGTTGTCTGGGACTTGGGGAATTCCAGGATGCTGAATTTTCAGTGCTAAAAACTGGCAAGCGTTCATCACATGTGTCCTGGCACACAGTAGGTGCTTAATAAATGTCAACTGAGATAATGGTTTTAATTGTCCCCTTCCGTTACAAGGTCATAGATGATATCACTAACACTAAATAGCCGGGGATCACAATAACATGTGATCTTCATTCCAAAAGGGCTGGAAGGAGAAGGGGACACATACCTGGCCGTGTGGGGAGCCCCTCGTAAGGATGGGAGAGTGGTCTTCTGTAATTTTTCACTGCAGCACATTTTAGAATCAGGACATGTTCGCTCTGGCATTTTGGTAGCTGTGCGTTTTCAATGTTCAATTGAAGGAGATAACAGCAAAGGAGCAGTGAGAAATGTAAATGCTGTTTTAACATTCTGCAGGGAAGCTGGCCAATTCACCTCCAGACTGTGATGCTGAGGCAGACAGCTGAACAAATGGATGCTATTAGCTACTGCAATAGAACATGCCTTTGATTCCCAAGCATGTCTGAATGATTGCAGCTTATTTTTCAGTATCAGGAAAGTTTTTCGATCCTCACATTGTTTAGAAATATTTTCTTGTTTTACGTATTTTTTTTTTAAATTTCTGAACAATCTATGTAACTGCTGTACTGTAGCTCCAGACCTGAGTTTTGTTTTGTTTTTCCTGGGAACTTAACTGCACACAACTGTGAGCTGAGCTTTAGATTAAGCAGCACTCTTGGTACAACTATATTGCCGACAATAACAATGAGCCCTAATTCATTAACAACACAAAAATGTGGTAGAGACAAACGGGATCAAATACAAAATTTATAATAATGTTTCTTTGTCTGCTTCACCAATGAACTATTCTAGGATGAAGGAACTCTCAACAGTACTTGCTAATGTTATTTACTGTTAGTCCAGTAGTATATGAGCTATGCTGTTGTATTACTGATGTTATTAAGACCTAAGTGTTAAATTTTTCCACCTATGCTATGAAATCTGATCCAAATATATACTGTTGGAGTTCACAGGGAAAACCTGAGCCCTCCTTTAGGATTTATGTGGAGTTCCTTCTTATTTCTGACAATTTCTACAACTGACTTCAGTAGAGATGTATATGCTCCATTTAAATCCCATCAGAAAGGTCCATGAAAATGCTCTATGGGAAGACAGTGGCACCCTTCTTGTACCTAACCCTACACACTGTACAATTAGACAAAGAAGGAAGAAGTTGACAAGGCAGAGTGACTGCTAATGCCACTCTTATCTCACTATTTCACATAAAAAATAATTGTGCCCAAATACTTTACTTGAATCTCATCAAATTACTTACTTCCTGTCTAGTTTACAGGAAATACTAAGGATAGAGGAACAAATCAGTAATATCCTAAATAAATGATCAGACACACCAATGAATGAGACATTACATAAGACAACTGGCTCCATTCTTCAAAAGGGCCCAAGTAAATAAATAAATCAACAGAGGCAGAAAGACTGTTCTGGGTGAAAAGAAACTAAAAACACAACAATCAAATGCCAAGTGTAAGACCTTCACTGAGTCCTGGATTTGGAAGCAGCCACACAGCTCTGAGTTTTGAAATAACCGGGAGATTGGGAATATAGAACAGAGAGCAGTTGGCGCTGCTGAATTACTGTTAATTTTCTTAAGCATGATCTTGATGTTGTGGTCATGTAGGAGATTGCTATTACTTGCAGGAGATTCATGCTGAGATATCTAGGGATAGAATGTCATTGTGTCTTGCCTGAAAACAGAAAACCCCTCAACTATTATTGAGTTTATGCAAGTGGTTTATGGATGTATTAAATTTTACTGATATTTTTGGCCACTTTAGTATAGTTTGAAAAAGTTAAAGATAATGAAGCTGAGAAAGAAATAAGACACTGTTGTCAAGGCCTGTGACTTTTAAGAGCCTCACTGGGTGAGTTTAAGGTGTAGGGTCATCATTGATCCGCAGCAGTAGGGCTAACCATGAGCTGTCATTGAGCTGGGACACTTGGTCAATCTTTACACCTCTGTGCTAGAATATTGTCATTATACTCTTCATGCAATTGAGAAACAGGGGCTCAGGGAGGCTCAAAAACTTGTCACAAATCTAGTAAATGATGGAGTGAGATTCAGGTTCAAACGTAGACTTGGAAATTGTCATTCTTAACTACTAGGCTTAATAGTGTTGTTGCTTATAGCTCTGGTCTTCCGAGTATGTATGCTGGGCTGGTGAGGCTGGGTGTGCCTCTCTGGGGACATGCAAGTGATTCAGTGTGACTCAGGACAAAAACACTAGAAGTTCCATTTCTATTTCTAAAATATAAGAACACAAGAGAAATTAAGCTTTATTAATATTTCATTGAGAGATGGACGTTTTCAGTCGGTCTA